TATCAATTTAACGTTTTATCGTGCCACTTGGCTTTAGACCTTGGATGGTTAAAGTGAGGCTGAAGGGTTAGTGATAGTCAGGTGCAGTCTTGGCTCCTACTCACAGGAAGCATGCAGTGCTGTACGACCAGGCTTACGACTAACTAGAGCCACCCGCTCCTACTGCTGTGGTGCCATTTATGTATGTAAAGTCAATAAAGAGTAGTTCGCTTCCGAAAATTCTTTCAGATTGTGACTGATCAACGACTGAACTAAAGTATGCTTCGCAACGACCGCAAGAGGTAGTGTGGTCTCTCTTGCTACTATAGCTGAATTTCAGGTGTACTTCCGGAGCAAATCGAATAATCGTTTGCCTAATGACGGGATCTAGTGTGGGCTCGCAAATGTTCTCATCTGGAGCAAAACCTGGAAGGAGTTCTGTCCCTCAATACTCATATGAGAAAGGAGGAAGACGTAATACTTTTTGATAATCCCAAACACAGATAGAACAACATCAAAACTCTAACGTATCAGTTGTTGGACCATCCTCCGAGGATGCAGCTATGAGTTGGGCAGGCTGAAGAAAATGTGCAATCGAGAGCCGGACCTCAACTGGAAGGCAAGCCTCACGAAAACCTCTCACTGTTCCCTGTTGATAATCGAAATATCTCGCGACTTTATTCAGTGGCCGATGTTCGAGGGTTTTGTATTTGAATGCATGGGCCTCACCAAAGAACACTACACTTTTCAAAGATGCAAAGAATTCTCAAGAGTAGAAGCAACTGTACATACAGGTAGGAGAAGCAAAACAATAAAGTAGCATTACAAAGTACTCATTTCTGGCGGTGCCCGTTTTAGAATGACATTTTTTTTGGTAAATCAGGCCAACAGTCATGCTCGTAGACTGTTTACCCTTACTATAACCCCCATTTGGAGTTTTGTACTAGATAATGTTTTATCACGCAGCAGGAATTGAATTGCAGAATTAATGGTGAAGCTATGCCAAAGCCAGTATATTTTTCATTTACAATGCCGGTTGAAGGCTCTTACAATGTGACTTCAGGAAAAAAACGGGTATAAAGGACCGGACTGGTTACGAGAGAATAAAAAGGAAGTCCACGATTTTGTACAATGAAGTACTACAAGCAAGACGCCTAGACTGAGCTTTTTTTTATTCTCTCTGCTTCGTCAGAAAACCATTCAGATTGAAAAGCCTTCCACAACCTGGCTGCTGTTTTATCGGGCCAAATTATTTCACTAGTTATCAAATATGGCATGAAACGACTTCTCATATCACACGAGTCCGGTGGCCTTTTTAGGCTCTTACAGCAACTTTGATGGCCAATACATCTTTTCCAAAGGATATGCACATGGTTTCAACGGGGTTACCTCCTCACAATCACACAACCTTGCTTGCTGGTTTATTCACGAAAGGCCGAATCGTTCGACTTCAAAGTTTAGATTTTAGTCACTGAGCGGCCCGTCGTGGCCCAGAAATGCCTTTAAGAAGTCGATTCAGTAGCGAATGCTTTAGCGAAACAGAAAGTTGAGTATCCGCCTGCTGATTAAGAAGGAAAATGTACACTTCACGTCCGAGGACCGTCCTTCTGTGCGTAGTGAAATAGGCCCGTAGTGTGTTAAGGCCTGCGTTTATTACTTTGCGTCAGCGTAGCGATAGCGCCTCCAGCGTACGCCAGCGGCGAGTGCCGGGAAGAGGACGGATATCGATCTAACGTTCCAGGCGTCACCAGCGTAATACGCTTTCCAGCGTGACGCCAGCGGTTTCGCCAGCGGCAGGCGAGTAGAGACTATTGGAGAGCTGGAGGGTACAAAACACATAGATTGCGCGTCTCTGACGGCCACATAGTCTCTACAATACACATCGGTTGTTGCGTCTCTGACGGCACATAATCTTACAATACACATAGAATTGCGCGTCTCTTATGGCCACATAGTCTCTACTCCCCTGCCGCCGCAAACGCCAGCAAAAACGCTGGTGAAACGCTGGTGACGCTCGAGAACGCTGGATCGATATCCATCCTCTCCCCGGCCACTGCCGCTGGCGTACGCTGGAAGCGCTACGCTTACGCTCCCGCAATGTATAAACGCAGGCCTAACTTGCTGCACCCAAAAGTGCGCCGCGGGACGGGCCGCAGGGTAGTAGCACCTAGCTGTCGTCCTGACATGGTCAAAGGTATGTCGCGAATTCCTACCGATGGACTACGGGGCCTACGCACGTTCCAGATAGTAAAATGGAGCAGCGGGGGCATCATTTAGTGGAACAATGACCATAAGTTCCTAGAAAGTTGTATCTAACTGAAAGCTTAAAAAAAAACTCGCGCTTGCCAAGAATCTTCTCGTGCTTCTGCGTCTAGAGTTGCCATGGGAGCTTAATGGTGGCTTCAGTAAATTTAGACCCTTTCTAAGAACAATGAAATCTGCTTCATCGTTTGGCCAAAAAGTGATTTTGCGGACGATTGTGTGCACTTTTCAAGAAGTTTCTGAAGTTCAACGTGTCATCAGACCACGTCAAATGTTGGATGGTCCCCAGTCGGGGAGTCGTATTTGGTCGTATTTGCCTTCACAGATAAAAATTGCGTGTTGGGATTTACAGTTTCTTCCGCTCTTACAATCTGCTATATACCCTTCCTCCTCGGCACCAAATTTTTGGAGAGAAACTAGAAAACTTGGGAAATTTCCGGGAAAGACTGCGAAAAAGATAGGGAAGCTGGGTAAGATATAGGAAAAAGTAGGTAGGATTGGAAAGGCGGAAGGTGAGGGCATTAGGGGTCGTGATTTTCGAAAAACAATTTCTAGCGGCAGGAAATGCTCTGTGTCATGCAGCGAACACAAGCGCGTGCGCATCCTGCGGATGGGCGTTTTCTTGACAGCTGTATAAGAGCGAGCGGCAGTCGCGATTGAACAGCTTCTTCCCGCATGGCCCACTAACCAGGCGATTTTCCGCAACGTGGTGCTTGACTCTGCTTATGGCTTTACACCTTAGAGTGCTTCGATGGAGAAATCGGATTATTTCCTCGGGAGAGAAAACTACTACTTCTCGATATTTGCTTTTCACGTAGCTGCTCCATAACAAGGTCAATTGCTGAAATGAGGGAACATAAGATCTAAGTTTGTTCCCGTCCCTGTCAACATGGCGTGCATCCTTTGAACGGCAAGGAAATGCTTAAAGGCAGTTGGCACGGATAAATCCCGCAACACTCCTTGCAGGACTAGAATTCCGCGACCCTGGACAGGCGCTGCATAGCGGTTCCCCGATAGAGGTGCCCATAAGGACCCTATCAAGCCACACATTACGCCCCAAACGCCTGCCAAGCGCCGCCCGCCCCACAAATGGGACGACCGTTTCTGACGCTTGGTATTCATTCATGTTGCCTAAGCCAAGTTATGAAGCAAAGGGTTTGGCATGAAGCGGCCGTGAATGCTGCATGTCATACATGGGTACACATCTGCAGGCCGTATCTTCGGTAGCGGTGATGGTAAGATGCTTACGGGAACTCGGTCCGAAATCGATTTACAAGTCACTGAGAACGGAGGCTTTTTTCTTCGCAGGATTTTGACCGTTTCACTTCCGTTCTTTCGTCATTTCCCCACTATACAGCGCCCCACTAGCATTTTAGGCCCTAAGTATGGAAACCATCGTGCCAACTGCCTTTAGGGTGAACAGAGAAGATATAGGTTGGAAGGAAAGTCTTGTCACTATTGAGGACTTTTTCCTTTTTTTGTTTTCTAACTCAACATATAGTGGAAATCAGTCGAACAATATGCCTCGTCATAGTTAGCCACTTATAGTGCTCTACCTATATGGACAGAGTGAGCCTTTCCTCCTCCCAGAACTAAGGAGGCTGCGAGTAGAGTAAGTCAGCGGCCTTTCGACTGATGTTATCAAAGTTGCTGAAAATTTTCTTAGGCTAAGAAAGCCCTAAGGAGGCAGAGCACGTAGCAATCTTAGGGGACTACGTCAAGAGAATATTATGAGCGAGGACTTGGTTCCCAGCCTTGCTCCTCAATTATTGGTAGGTCTCCATAGCAGGTATGGGTTCTCACGTACTACGAAAGAGGTGCCCGCAAGCTAGTGGTTACTTTTCTCCAACAATTTTCACCAGTTTCAGGAGCTGAGCAATACAAATCCTAACGATGACGGGTGTTCTCATATGGGCAGCTTGTTGTGCAGTATTCCATTCGGGTCCCGAGGAAGCAGTAAAGAAGAACCTTCTCGGAATCGTGCCCGGTTTGGACTGCATAGAATGCGGTCTTCTCCTTGAGAGAGACACGTGGTACTGTGTGAATTTGAAATCCAGCAGAAGACCCATATCTCATCTCCATTGAGCATGTCTCTTTGAAACTCCTTCTTGAAGCGCGAAGAAAGGGAGACTCACCAAGGGGTACCCAGGTGCACAGCCTGCCATTGGTCAAGGCATAGGTGATCCATCGAGCCAGTACTTTTTGGTAGTCAAGGGCTTACGGGAGGTGGATGACTGTCGGTTAGGTACATCCGAGTCTTGTCGCGAAACTGCGGGTGATAGCCTTCGGATCCTCCTTGGCATCTTCGAGAACAGTGGAGCCTTTCACTTCGTTGAGGAGTGCCGAACGAGGTTTTGCTTTGAGGATCGTATCTCCTTTCGCGAAGTGAGCGAACCAAAAGTGAACGATCCTGATGGTAGTGGTGTTCTCCTCCAATGCACTGTTGATGTCGCACACAGCCGCCGTGACCCCAGTGCCGCAGGGCCACCGGTAGAAGATGATGACGCGAAGATGCTCCTGTGAAACTAAAATCGTAATTAGACCCAGGAAAGAGCAGGCGCCCTCAAACACCTCTTGCATGAAAGCTCTCAGAATGTTCTACAAGCATGACATATTACCTCATGTTCAAGCGTCGAGAATCCAAAACTGTAAGCTTTTAAAGGAAACACTGACAGGACTTTCCTTCCAACCTATAATTCCCATCGCTACATGTGCTCATGCCCACCATGTTAATACCTAACCAGTTGCGAAGAGGCTCTATGATTCAGGTGTTCGCCTACAACGTTGGTGCGGGTGACTCTAAGGCGCTACAGCTAAAACAAGGAAAACTGCTGCATTACATCATAGAAACCTTCAAATCAAAGAAAGAAGAACATGAAAAGAAAGGGAAAATCGAGAAGAGGAAGCTTATTGTGTTCTCAACGGTAACTCTGAAAATCCACATTAAGACCCATCTTGCTCGAAAGTATTCCAATCTTCATTTTGATTTAGCAAGACTGGATCCTACAGGCCCTACTCAATGGTATCGGGGCCGTAGAAGCGGCTATTGGTGAAGGCATTCCTAACTTTAACTCAATGATAATGTTTGAAATGCGTGAAGACAAAAAAGCGTACACCATGCAGGTCAGCGATTTTGTCAGGCCGCGTTTATACTTTGAGGCAGCGTCCCTCACCCACCACTAGCGCTCCAGCGTCCGGCAGCGCCAGTGACTAGGAAAGTGTAAATACACGTCTATCAGAGCTCGAGGGCTAGATATGGTCTAGCACCAGTCTGCAAGCGCCTCGAGGGCTAGGAAAGTATAGGTATCAATCCAGCGTGTGCCAGCGTCTGGCACCGTCCACCAGCATCCACCAGCGTTCGCCAGCGACTGAGAGCGTATGGGGAAATAGGAGTGTAGCGAACAGCTGGGAAAAGCGTCGTGAAATTGCGGCGTGTGCAAACGCATCGCACAACTGCTAAAGCACAGAATTATATGTACAGTATAGTGGGTTTGCACACGCCGCTATTTCACGACCCTAGTCCAACTATTGACTACCCTCCTTCTTTATACTCTGTACTTTCGGTTGGTATTGAAATCTGGTGGGCGCTGCTTGACACTGGTGGAAGCTGCCACGAAGTATGAACGCAGTCTCACCCTTTCAACATGGACGACTTCTTTGGTAACAAATGAAGATGACATTTTAGGTGTTCTACCAAGATGGCGAAAAGGGTTCGGTGAAAGATATCACCGGAGCAGTACGCGGTTGTTCCAAATCACCGTGCCCATATGAAGAGTTCCTTAAATGTTGCAACGATTACAAGATTGCCGACCCTCACGAAGTTTGCCGTCTCATCCCGTGAAAGTTCCACCTCACGCAACAGTGAAAAAATGTCAGCACAGCTGAATTTCTATCTTTTCACGTGTTCACATCGCCTTTTCATTAAAGGATTTGTCTATTTGATTTTAGAGTCGAAGAATATTGAAGGCAACAGATTTCATCTATTTAAGAGCCAAGTTGTGCATATTGCCGGTCGCCATTGGTCTTGCGGATCGGACGGCTGCTTACCTTGCAATTATGTGGTCACCTCGAACATACTTCACTATGATAGTAAAGGTCCCTTAGGTCATCAAGAATCAGAAAACTTATTTGTTTTAGTTCGCGGACATGCTGCAGCCATTTCACCAAAAGATCGTCTTTTCTTGCGGTAAAATGTATGAGTAGGCCCTGCTTCACTTTCACCATAATTTCAGACCGAATATTTTCTACTAGTCCCAGTCAATGTGGCAATTGGCATTGAAATCCTGAGCTCTTTTACCTCTTTGGACAACTTCTCATATTTCTGCTCCTCCAGAATTTTTGATGACAGTGATGAGAAAAAGCGATCGATGTCGTTACCCTGTTGCCGTCGACCACTGATTTTTTTTTCGTTTCTAGGGCATAGGAGCCAAACAGTGGAACTCGGAGGCTACTACACATAAGTATTGTGGCTGAACAAAAGGCCATTTTTCTCTCCGTAGATCAATTTCTGCACGAAAATGCTGATTATGAGCAAAAGCTAGGCCACTTGCGGGGCTTGATCCCGCATCTTTCGCTGACCGGGCCATTGCCATACCATTATGCCACGGGGACACTCTCGCCCTCTCGGCTTCACGCTTTTTTCATTATGTCATCTGGCCAAAAAATCCAGCCTTGTTCGACCTAATTCATTTCAGTGATCGTCGCGTTATCTTTCTGATGTGTAGAATAAGCTGCCTTCACTGTTGGTGGCAGGAATCCAGTGATATGGTTTTGATGTTCGTACTTTCTTTGAACTGCTACGGTTTTTCCTCGGTGGGGGTTGGTGGCAAATGGCGGACTAATTGCGGCAGCACTAGTGCACACCACAGTGATCTGCTGAAAAGCCTCTCCAGTATGAACGAAGAGCAGGTAACGTATCCGCTCATAGCGCACAATCGCTGCGATTCCATAAAAGAAAGGGGGGGAACGGGTGTGTATTTGATTTGCTGAGAGGGAGGAAGTGTTGTTAGTGAAAGCGGCAGTCAACAGCCGAACAACACAAGGTGCAGTAAGCCTAAAAACGCGGAATGATTACGAAAGTTTCTAAGAAGTTGACCTGAGTTCGACTAACGTATATGACTGAACACTGGCAACTCCGAATAAGTCCGAGAGCAGCCATGGACCATATTTTTAACCCTGTGAACCAGTGTGCTTACGTGGACACGCATCACGTATAAGTTACCACCATCCCATAACTTTAGAAGGAGGGAGGAGGACGTAGTGCAGGCACCTCCTAGGCAGCGACCTCAAGCAGCTCTCCCTGAAAATAAGTACTTTTGGCAACGCGCTGAAATGCAGTCCTTGCTGAACCTAATAAAAATTCGGCAGTTTTTCTTCGTGCAGCAGCCCTTCAGTTAGATTGTTGTTCCATGCTGAAAGTGCTAGGAAGGCCCGGAAGGACATTTGAGCTCGAGTAATTGGTCTTACTTCTTGTATGCTCTGGAAAAACAAACATGAGAAATTGCAAAAAATCAACAAAACTTTAAGGAAGGTGGGATACGGCGGTTCAAAGACATCCTTTAGATTGCAGGAGTCGTAGGGTGGTACGGACACGAGCAAAATCCCCAACGCATGATGTGCCCAGTATCACTAAACCCTTGCTTCGTCTTACTAGACTGGTGCAAATTCATTGGTGCTATCGCCAGGAAGTTTCCCGGTAACGGAGATAAGAGAGAAACTTCAAGTTGTCATATGAGTGCAGAGTACAGAGATGCCGCCAACTGTTTGGTGGTTACATTTGGCTACGCTCCATTGTGTTGAACAAATGATGCATTTACACTTTTGTCTAAGCCACTCAATAGTGCGCCGACGCTTTCGACAAAATATCTCCACATTCCCAACTACGACAGCGAAACGTGGAATGAAAACGATATTCACTTGGCTGCGACAATGTCCATTGATGCCAATACCAATCCTTCCTCAGAATCCTTACCAGCGGAGAGTTAAGCTGGAAGTCGCTTCACATCACTTTTGAAGGGACTCTTGTCTCTCTGCATATGTGGTGGTTCTTGCGGCGAATGGTGGGGATGGGTTTTGGTGAGGCGCCAAACCCGTTCTCCATCGGTCGCTGGTTTGAGCGAGTAACAAGACTACCATATTGTTCGTATCAGTCGTTCGCTACCTCGTATTGTTGTTACTTGCTTCAACAATCGGTGGAGAACGGATTTCGCGCAGCGCCAAATCCATTCCGCCTGACACGCCTCTTCATCCGCAGCGAAAAAACTGTAGTGGAATTTAATACACCAATCCTTCAGAGAAAGTATACTGGGGGAGAGGGCAAAAAAAGTCACTTCGACAGACTCATATATCAGCGAAATTCTGGCTGCCCAGACAGAGGACGTGGATACGAGTGTCAGAGCGGAAGATTCCCAAGATGTTCCTCTATAAGCAGGAGCTGGCTCTCGCCCATCACCTTGAGTACACCAACATATGAGTCATCTCCAGTCGCAGCCTGACTAGAGAAGACCTTTGGAATTCATGTCACCTCCAAACAGCTGCGGAACTTCTAGTATGGAATCACCCATAGACAGGTACCTGGAAACCAGCACTCTCGATATGGATGACCTCCAACATCGAGCAGCTCCGACAACGTCGCCATGGTCTAAGACATCATCTTCACCACAGTCGCCAAGGCGCTGGTTGATGGTATGGACCGGACGTACCTGGAATGAAAAGACCAGTATTTTCTTCGTGGACCCCGGCCTAAAGGTGAGCGCTGGCGGTTACATCGAGCAACTCGTGAAGAATATCCTCCTCACATGTCGTCGCCCGTACCTTCTTGAAAACCGTACTGCTACAGCATTGGGTGCCACCACATGGAATCAAAGGGCATTGGAGAAACTCTCCTACTTGGAATGGAAGGAGGCTGAGTACCTAAAGAAGATGGGATATCCCAGTAGGTCACCTGATCTGAATCCCCTCAAATACCCGGTTCGGGCGGGGTTCAATAGGGTGGTCTACGGTGGCAGAGAAATCGACTATCTCGCCAATCTCAGGCATCACATCGCGGTCGCGTGGCAGAATTTCTCGATGGCGCTCGTCCAGAAGGCTGTGGCTGAGTATCATGATAGTATTTAATATGCTCTTTATTGTGGTGGTAAAAATGTCCGATCAGAATTCAATAAATTGTAAATTATAGCGCCTCGAAAGTCAATGAAGGAAAGGGACTTTTTGGCCTCTCCCCCCCCCTCTGTATATTGAGCACATACAACAACGATGATTGAGCGCAATGTTTCGTCGTTTTAGATCTGAATAGCGTGTGCCCTAAACAATTCAGCAGTCTTCGCACACATAAGGCGACACCCTTCCCATAAATTAGTCCGAAAACATGGTGAATAGACCTGTCTTCAATGCGAGCCCTACACTACAGATACAATGCTCGAGAAGAGAGCTCGTGTTTTCAAATCATTTACGAAGCTGGTGACTTCCCATGTGGTTTTTAGTGCAATGCTCTCGCAAAGCAATCCCTCATTGTGATGAAGGGTACGCGAGGAGATTGATCGTTAACGAATCCAGGAAAAGGCACTCTCGACCCCTTGAAAAACCAGCTCTCATTCTGTTTCTTCTCAGTGGTGGCGAGTGAAAAAGGATTAGAACAGCAATGTATTGAGGTGATGCACAATAGGTGAAACTAACTGGTGGCACTCCTCTTCGTTCCAAACACTTGGACGACGGTGGTTCATTGCTTGTAACTGATACCAGTCGGATTGCCCAGCTGACGCAGACCTCTAATGCTTCTGTTTAGCTGGTTTGACTTTGCCAGGCGCACTTCATTATCGAAGCAGAGAATTTGATCACTCACTTAGCTCCTTTTACTGCTCGTACTGATCGTATCGTAAAAGATGGAGCAACTCACGCACGAGCCCACGTAGCTGCCACGCGAGCAGCTCGCTCCTGCTCCAAGTTGGGCTACGCTTCCACTCACTGCAACCCATTACACCCGACTCCTTTCCTCGGTATCCCTCACCTACAGGTTCATGTTCAGCTGAGCACGTGCGGAGAAAACAGCTATGGGAGCAGAGGTAGGGCTTACTTGGTACTCCTCCCTCAACCACCCTGCTCTCGCACGAGCACCTCAGCTGCCACGCGATCAGCTCGTGCAATGGCTCGAAGTGTACCAAATGGTTGTCTTATGTAGCCGAAGCTGTTATCACAATAAGAATAGGGGGCTGATACATCTGCGCCAATCGGTTTTCGGTCTTTCTAGCGAACGTATTCTCCTCACACCAAACTGTGAACGTCTAGCAGACGTAGAGGCACACAAACATACATACTACCAACAAACCGAGTTGCTGCTTTATAAGATAGAGGGAGTACCATTAAGACGTTTGTGGGCGACAAAAACTAGACAAAAGAGTGGTCCTCTCAAGCGCAAATCGTTATGATACTTCCCAGAACACACAGGCGGAGAGTGCTCATCCTGTGACCCCCATCCTGTTGAATGTCCTCCAGCCTCATTCTGTATCCCATCTGCACCAACCGCGTCCTCTCCCAGCCTTCATCCTAGCCAGTTCTCGACGAGTTTCTTCTTCTGCCCAGACCTTTATGGGGTTAGGCCGTCACTTCTGGATCATGACTACCCATTTTGTACCTCGAAAAAGCATACGACCGCCTACCTCAGCCTGTGCTCTAGAGTGCGCTCGAAGAACGGAACGTGCGAAACTCCGGTTTATAGTGGAAACATGTACGATGGGGCTGGGCTGTCACACTGCACACGGCTTGACAGGACATGGCGACACAGCTGAGGAACAGCAGGTATGAGCTCTGAGAGCGTTTCTCTTCCTTCCAACTCTGGACGTCATGGTAAAGGAACTTATACAAGGGAAACACGAGACCATCCTCTACGTCGATGACATCGCCCTTGTAGCAGGCTTCAATAGTCAATAGTGTCTCGTATTTGAAGTTCCCTCAGTTGATTCTATCTATTAAATACAAACAATCATTTCTCCTCTCGAACATTAACATGCTTCTGTCCTTCTTTCATCTTTCTGCACATTTCCTCTTATCCATCTTTGTTGCATCAACTTTGCATGTGCGTTTATCCTATAACTTCTCTCATTTTATCCTTTTCTCAGCTCCTTCTCCTGTGTAGTCCGTGTCCTTGTTTCGTCGACCTTCCTTACTGATGGGCTCGGGGATTAGCGAGATATTGATGATTCCTCTAAGGGAACAAGCGAAAAGTGATTATTCTCCTAAGGGAACAAGCGAAACGGATTATCTGTGCTTCAAAGGTTTTTCCTTTCCCAATATTTTGTTTCTTTTTCCTCTAATTCAAAGAAGAACTCCGAGCAATGTGCAGAAATGGCAAGAAATACTGGGTGGGAACGATCTTATCTCATTGTATCCCCTCATCACTATGAGCGGGACTCCGCATGGGTCATGTACTCCTGCTGTGCAGTCATTTTCCACATGAAAATAATGTTATTCGCAACCACTCACATGTCTTGAATTCGACAAATCGTGAACGCAACGACGTACAAATAGATACTTGGTCATCCGTCTTAGCAACAATTTGTCTTTTGTGGCAACAATTCGAAGTAAGTAACAGGAAAACAGGAACTACACATGAAAACTACGTCTGTTCTTAGAAAAATATTTGGAAAAGAACAGAGCAGGAGAATGGGGTCAGAGTGGACGGAAGATGTAATCTTCCTAAAAAAGTTCTACAATGTCCGCATCATTCAGTTTATTTTGGCCGCCGATCGAAGGGCAGATGACGCCTCTTCCACCTTCGACTTGAAATGATCCAAGTCCTGCAGCATCATAGTAAACTCCAAAGTGTCGATTTCCAGAATCATTCCAGTGACCTTCTCTGTATCCTTGTGGTCCGGATACAACCTAGCAATAAGAGCGTAGATACGTTCCCAAAGCAGCTGTTTTTGTTCCTACAAACAAGATGAACACTTACGTAATTCACTTATCTCGGAGAAAAATTAACGCTACATTACGCTCACTTTTATTCTGTGCGCGACAAACTATCAGTTTGTAAACTGTCGTGATGGAAACAGGGAGGAATTATCCACCTTTTTGTTCTTCCCACCAATGTCTGGAAAGGCGTTCACGCCTACTCGTCGAGTTCGAGGCCTAAGTATTGTATATAGCGATAGGCTCGAATTTGACGATTACATACATAATATAACGGCTTGTGCGGGCATGAGAGCAAATTTCATCATCAGAGCAATTAGAATTCGAGATCTAATTGTGTTATGTTCGGCTATTCGCTCTTTACGCTCGGACTCTACTGGAGTACTGCTCGCCGGTCTAGTCGCCTTGCAACAAATCGCTAGTCAACGAGCTTGAGAAAGTTCAGACAAGTTTTACCTATCGCTGTTTCGTTCGTATAGGTATTAGCACAACATCATGCGAGCAGCGAATCCGTAAGCTTGGCGCAGATTTCCTTGAATTCAGGCGTAAGGTATCTGACTATGGTTTTCCTTACAAAATTACCACAGGCGAGAACTGTATCAAAGACACATGGTACGATCACATGCGTGACTAACAGCCCCCAGCTGTCGAAGCGTAGTGGTTCCCCCGTCCAAACGTGCGCAGGAATAGAGATACAGGACCGCGAAAACGCTAATTTCTTCATGCTCCGCCCAATGCCTTTTTGCGGCGCAGACTCCCGTTCATGCTAACAGCCGTCGTGTGCGCGCGTGTCGCATCCGGCACTCTTGGCACTTTGCCAAGTCGTGTAATTGCGCTTTGGAGTACAAGTAAAAAGCGATTTCGTGATGCGGATAAGATTTTAGGTGCTGCGAAATAAAAACCGAAGTTGATGACGAGGGCCAGAACTCAAGAACAACTGTGCTGCTTCTGCAACATCCCTTGCAGGCCACGCATGCCCACAAAACATGGAAATCAAAACGGCACACCCGTCAGTTCGATACTAGCAAAACGCTATTTCCTGATGCGGATAACATTTGAGGTGCTGCTCATGCTTCAAGCTCCGAATAGAAGTTGATGAAGATGACAAAGATGATAGCGTGTTTCACGGCCCTGTAACTCCGTTCCGCATGTGAGGACGCGGAGACCGCTACGCTTCGACAGCTGGGGGATGGGGGCTGTTAGTCACGCACATCCAAACTATGAGTGATCGTATTAAGTGTCTTTAAACAGCAAGATCTTTCTGAGAACTCTTCCCGATTCGCACGTAAAAGGGTCACACTTACTGCTAATGGCCTTGAAGGCCTAACACGGATGCTCTCAGAGATTCCTTTCCAGTCAGAGTAGTCAGTATTTGGAGCAGTTTAGACTGCAGTTATTTCGATGGAAGCATCATTTCAAAATCAAGTAGCACTTCGTCTCGAGCATTAGTTTCAACTTCCTTGGTGGCGCGTCGAACTAAAGATGGTATAGATTGACCTCCCCCGATTTGATCTTTGATACTGTTCTTCATCGCGTTCCCGTAGTCATTTCTTTCATGGGCTCGTCTCTCCCTTGCTTGCAGAGTATCCTTTTTATGGAAGTATCCTTTCTATCTTGATTTCTTCAGCTTTTTCTTCTCTTAGCTTTTCAGCTTTATTACTAGTTTGGTTCTTTTCATGTGAATCTCCCCCTGCCGTGCTCGACCGACAATAGAAGCCGGGCCGCAGCGAGGTTGACGAACCCACTAAGATGGTATCCAGGGGTCGAGTGAGGTTCACTCTAGATTTTACCGCGTTGGCCAGTCGCTCCTGAGCTGCAAAAAAAATCCGCCCATCTCTGTCGCACCCCTAACCACCTCCTCCCTCCTTGTCCTTGATGTCGCTACTTATCTGAAATCTGTGCCATTGCCGATATTGATAAGTAAAATAAAGTTCATACTGACCGTCGATTGAAGGACCGATAACGCCTCTTCCACCTTCGACTTGAAATGATCCAAGTCCTGCAGCATCATAATAAGCTCCGATTTGTCGATTTCCAGCATCATTCCAGTGATCTTCTCTGCGTTCTTGTGGCCCGGATACAACCTTCCGACGAGAGCGCAGATACGTTCTCCGAGCAGCTGTTTCTGTTCCTACAAATAAGATGAACACTTACGCTTACGTAATTCGCTCGTCTTTAAAATTTTTTATAAATACGTTTGTGATATTTTTTGCGCAATCGCTCATCGCACCCATTCGCTGACTTCTTGGTTGAGATTCAGCAACACACCTGAATAATAAATACCATAAGAACAACCTTTGAACAAAAAAAACAACGTAAATAGTCAGGTGATGAATAAGATAAGTGTCAAATCACATGAGATCTCCACCATCACACTACCGCAACTTTCTCACAAACAGTATAGGGAAAAGCAAGGGGGAAAAAGGGCATTTTCATGATAAGGGCACATTGCACGATTAAATGAAAGGTAGTCGTTCTGAGATGTAGAGCTGTACCACCTGTGACAGTTCGAAGCGCACGGCAGAGGCCTCAGGTGTGTGCGATTGTCTGGCATACCCAACTACATCATGCACTGTAATTTTCGCTCGCTGCTATCTCTTCCATCGAACGAGAGATCAGCGTTTTCCGTTCATTCATTCTCATCCAATGCTCAAAATAAAGTGGAGAGAGAAAAGGACTCTATTCAGGATACTTTCCGCTCTCCTTGAGCTCTTTTCCCACGAGTAATTCAGCACCTACTGTTTTGTTCTTGAACACCTCTGGTAGGTACTATCGTGCATTGTCCCTTGATGATTTCATTTCATTGAGTGTATTGGGTGGGCGAGGAAGTTCTGTTATACCTTGTTGAGCTGAAAATACTTGCTCGGTATCGTCAGCACCCGCCCTCGAAGCGTTCTCTCATACTCTTTCTTCCACCACGACGCCAGCTTGAGCTTCCGGTACCAGAATAAAAGAGGTGCATAAGGACGACGACTCCAAATGTCGGACAATCTTACACGCAGCTAATCCTTCGGAGCCTTCAGTTTTGAAGATGTAGTGAGCCCTGGATGTCCATGTGAGCTCGAGGGCGCGGCGGCTCGTGAAGTTACTGGATGAAGAAGCTGCTTGCACGGCCAATGCTTACACAAAGATGTCACTAGATCCAATGTGAATCGTCGATTAGAGACAAGATCTTGTCCGCCCGTCTGCCTTCATCATGACAGTGCAACCCACCCGTCCAAAAAAGGTCGAGCCGAAACTCATGCACGGACCTGGATGGCTCAACCTTTGTACCAATGTGGCCCAGACCTTATTCTTCCCATCTTCTGGTTGCTTTCTGTACTAACCCTTTATATGGACGAGGAAACCTTCACGGCTCGAGCGTAAGTAAAAATTAAGGCAATACTCAACGTTGCATTACTTGGCTCGGGATTGCGTAGCGATGGCACTGGGTGCTCAAAAACCAGCAAGAACCCCGCAATGACAATACTTTACAATTTTGATCTTATACGCTTGCCTATAGTGCCAGGTGCGTTATTGCTGAGCCCCATGCTAGCCAATCTTTGCATATATTGAGACACCAACTGCTCGCGACGGTCTTCCTTACGCTGAGCCATTGCGACGTACAATGGCTTTGAGCACACCATTTTCGAGTTCATCTCAGTGAGAGCGTTAGTAGCCTCATCAGGCTTTTCAAAACAAACGAATCCGAAGCCTTTCGAACGACCACTCTCATCGGTCATAACCTAGAAATCAAAACTACATCAGAAGGCCAGAACCACTGTGGACTGTGAAAAAAGTACGAGGAATGTTCAATGCGTTCCCGGTATAGACATGAAAAAAGCAGAAAATTCCAGTAAAGTTTATTTTTCAATGTAATGTAATTTCTCCCATAGCCTCAATCCACTTGCTTGCTCTGGAACCAACTTTCCAGTACCCTCTGAAAACATTTTTCCTCCTTGTACGCAAAATGAGCGCCAATCGCCGCCTGCAGGTACAGTCGTCACCTGCAACTTTGAATAGTCCAATGTCAGTGCGGCGGGCGTGCGGCGCGGTGCGCCGCACCCGTACTGCACCAATTTTGAACAGGAAGTAACATTACTGTATTATATCCTTCGTGTTACTCGTTTTCTATCACTTTTTGTCGCATACGCGTTTCAAACGAAAAGGCTGAGAAAGCTTCAAAACAGTGTGCACGCTCCTTTCTCGGCCGACACGTGATTGTGTATCCGGGGAAAGCGAGTTCGTTGGCGTCGAATTACCATTGCAATTGACAGTGTTTGAACAGGTATGGTAAGTCCACCAACTTAGGATTACTTGTTGAAACAACTAGACTAGAGCTTCCGTAATTTGCTAGTCTGGCAAAAAGGTCAGTGTGGGCTCAGCGCCCATGGTTTCGTCATCTATCCTTTCCATCTAATGATAGTTACTTTAAGGGGAAAAACTATTTGGAGCTATGGCGAGTTGTCATCATCTGGAACCCTATTCACCTGATACGTTTTGCACTCATGACCGACACGATTTTTGACAGGGGAGGTTGATAGGAAATCGCAGCCAAAGACATAAACCCACACGCCCCTATCAAGTGCAAGGATGACGACTGTAGTCATGGTCAGCATGAGGCTTTCAACAAAGATCTTTTTTTCTCGAGTTCTTTTCATTTTTCTCATTTTTTTTGACAGTAATAATGTTCTCAACACTGTCGCATCGGTCGTTCCAGTCTTCTTTCACGAAGGGTGACCAGAACAGCATGTGTGATAACTGAACGAAATTTTGTATTTATACCCGCAAGGAGTGTTGTTACCTAATAAAATGATTTAAATTCTTTCGTCACTGCTAAATTACCCCGATACCGAGAATACTTTGAACGGCCCTCGTAGCTCAGCAGCCTCGTACCTACTAATTACCTCACCTTGCACGAAGTAATCTTGCCATGAGATTCAAAGTATTTGCGGAGAGCTTCATCGTTGACTGTATCGTCAAGGTTTTTCACATACAAGTTCACCCCCTAAAACATCACAATCAAAGTACTACGAAGACTTCAGTAAGTAACGGTCTTACCTTCTGAAGATCATGCTTGCGTTTAAGCTCTGCGTCACGCTCACTTTTTTTCTGCGCGCGACAAACTACTAGTTTGTGATCGGTGCCTTCAATTTGGTAGTCGTTCATTTCTTGCACGGCCTGAAATGCTAGCCAATTTGCTTCAGTGGAATGGATATGAAGAAAAAAAATCACATCACCTTCTCGGCCTGCTCTGGCTGCTCGTAAGCGACAAAACCGAAACCCTTCGACTTGCCTTCGGCATCGGTCATGACCGTACAACTAGTAATCTTACCAAACGGTTCGAAAAGCCTCTGAAGCGCCTCCTTATCCAGACTTTCTCCAAAGTTCTTTATAAATACGTTTGTGAATTTGTTTGTGGACTCGCCCATCTCACATATTTGCTGAATTCTTTGTTGGAATTTACCAACATACCTGAATGATAAATATCATAATAAGAACATCCCACTTTTAAACCAAAAAAAGACAAAGTAAAGTATCAGCTGATGAAGTAATAAGTGACAAATTACAAGAGGTACCACAGCCGTAAGGTTCTCACCAGTGTACGGAAAAGCAAGGGGAAGAATGGGCAGTCCTGTGATCAAGGGCACACTGCACGATTACCCAAAAGTCTATCCAAGACGTAGAGTTGTACCACCTGCGAGAGTACACCCAACTACATCGTGCACTACTGGTTCTCGCTCGCTGCTGTCTTTTCTATCGTGGAGAGCGGACGTTTTCCTTTCAATCGTGCTCATCCCAAATGCTGAAACTCAAGTGGAGAGAGAGAGGAGGGCATTATTCGAAACATTTTCGTTTCTTGTGCTCCTTTCTCACGAATAAGTAAGCATCTGGTGCTTTGTTCTCATACCTCTCTAATAGCGACTCTGATCGTGCATTGTGCCCCTGATAATTTCATTGCTGGATGTATAAGGTATTAGGTTGGCGAGAAAGTTCCGTTACACCCTATTGAACTAAAAGTACTTGTCCGGTACCGTCGGCATAAACCCTCGAAGCGCTCTCAAAGTCATTCATCTACCACCCTAGCGCCAGCGTGAGCTGCCGATGCTAAAATAAAAGAGCTGCATAGGGTCCCCAAATGTCGGACAATTCCGCGCAGCTAATTCGTCAAAGCAGGAGCCTATAATTTTGAGTACGAAGTTATCCCTGGATGTCCATGTGAGTTCGAGAGCGCGGCGGCCCGTGAAATTACTGGATGAATAAGCTGTTTGCACGGCCAATGCTTACACAAAAATGCCACTAGATCCAATGCGATTCGTCGATCAGAGAGAAGAACTTCTTCTGACCCTTGGCTTAATTCCCATATTTCGAAGTTCGGGCCCCTTTCATCATATGTCTCCTCTTCATTCAATGAGCATTTGCCAATGTCCGGTGCTTATCACATTTCTAAAATCACAGACCAGTCGCTGGAAATAGAACAGCTTCGCGGATGAGGTGTTCCGATGGTAACAATATCGGAATTATAGTGATATGTGCTTACATCCTAGTGCTTCCGTTGAAAGGCTTTCACATATCCATCCGTTGGTGGCCATTATCACCCCACTGGCTAACAACTTCAGGCTTTTACTTTATGTCGAATCTCGAGAGTTTGGTGGTCGAATCAATTCCCACTATAACACTAAAGGGTAGTTCTTGGCTTTCCTTCTGGCCGACCTCATCTTGGCTCACGGAGCCTTTGCCCATTGATTCCATGGGGCGCGATGGTCAACATCAATCGCAAGCCGAGTTGAGCTGCAAACCTATACTGACCCTTGTCGGACACTATATCACAACTTATCTTCCATCACCAATGTTCCCTAACCACCTCTGAACTGCTTACTGCAAGAAGTTCCCCAGTAGTACTACAATTCGTGCACTGACTTTTGTGGCTTGCTCTCTGAAGTAGCCCCTGTGGTATCTTATCAGCTCTTATCACTTCTTGCCACCCACCAGTAATGTTTCCATCCTGCCCCCTATCTTACTCATTGGAAGCAACGTCCGGTCATTGCTGTGACCGAAGTTATGAATCAGGTAACGAACCCCTTCTAAGACTCCTCATGGTGTCTTATCAGCTGTTATCACTCCCTGCCGACCACTAATATTGTTCCCGTGCTGGTTAATTACTGTCTTCGAAAAACTGTAACTAACTTATCAATATTGGAACTTGTATATGTAATGTGTTCCGATCTTTTTTTCACGTATGCCTTATACACACGTAATAAATTTATACTTATACCTATGCTGCGCCTATTACTTCTTGGAAACAACATTCTGCCGTCGTTGTGATGCGCGTTAAGACGGTGATGACCCTCCCTTTTCTAGGACTTCATATGGTAGTTTATCAGCTCCTATCATTTCTTGTCACCCACCAATAATGTTCCCATCCTGCCTCCTATTTTACTTCTTGGGACTAACGTCCCCTCGTTGCTGTGGCCCGCGCTGAGTTTGGCGACTCTCCTCTCGACCCCCTGTGGTATCTTATCAGCTCTTATCACTTCCTCCCACCTGCCGGTAGTGTTCGTGCCTGGCCACCTACATCACCTATCAATTTGAACTCTCTACGACTGATTTAAAGGAAGTTATGAATTTTCGGTCAAACACACATACAAACATACATAACCGCACACACCAACAGACAAACTTAGCGAATTATAATAGTAGGATAGTAGTTGACTCTAGGGAAGGTAGAACAGATATTGTCTGAAAAACAAATCAATAACTTTAACTAGTTGTTTACAGACTTCTGCGACATGATAGAAATGCACTCGGCCATTCTCAATCATCCTACTATATATAATCCGCTAAGTTTGTCTGTTGGTGTGTGTGTGAATGTTTGTGTGTCTGTCTGTATGTGTGTTTGACCGGAAATTCATAACTTTCTTCAAAACAGCGATAAAGCGCTCAACTTGATAAGTGATGTAGGGGGTCGGGCAGGAACTTTATTGGTGTGTGGCAGGAAGTGATAACAGCTGATAAGATACCATAAGGGGCCTCAGAAAGAAAGGAACACCAACTTCATAACGCGCGTCACAGCAAGGCTAGAGCGATGGTTCCAAGAAATAAGATAGGGGCAGGATGGAAACATTATTGGTGGGTGGCAAGAAGTGATAACAGTTGATAAGATACCATAAGGGACTTCAGAATGGGAGGAGCATCAACTTCATAACGCGCGTCACAGCAGGGCTAGAGCGTTGGTTTCGAGAAGATAGGGGGCAGGATGGAAACATTATTGGTGGGTGGCAGGAAGTGATAAGAGCTGATAAGATACCATAAGGAACCTTAGAAGGGGAGGGTCACAAAATCCATAACGTGCGTCACAGTGATGGTAGGGTGTTTTTTCCAAGAAATAAAATAGGGAGCAGGATGGAAACATTAGTGGTGGGTGGCAGGAAGTGATAAGAACTGATAAGATACCATAAGGGGTCTTAGAAAGCGAGGGTCATCAAATTCATAGCACCGGCCACAGCAACAACGAGACATTGGTTCTAAGAAGTAAGACAGGGGGCAGGAGGGAAAATTATTGGCTGGCGGAGGAATTGATAACAGCTGATGAGATAGCCAGGAAAATTCACAGCAGCGTTGTAGCGACACTGGGAACTGCTCGAGCAAGTAATTCAGAGGTGCTTAGGGAACATTAAAGGTGGAAGATAAATTCTGACAGTGTCCTACAAGGAGTCCGTATTGATAGTCCGTATCTGCTCACATCACCGTAACCAATGAATCAATGGGCGAAGGCTTAGTAAGTCAGGATGTTTCCCATTAGTAAAGTCCCTCAGTTTAGCGGTCGGAATTGCTTCCACCGCTAAACGCTCGAGTTCCCGAAAATAGGATGTTTGGAGTAGTTTGCCAATAATGAATGGAATGATAAGAGCCTCTATGGTTTCAATATTTTTACCATCGGAATCCTTCCAACCGCTATGCTGTCCTATTTCCAACGAATTGTGCTTTTAGAAATATGATAGAACCTAACATTGGCAAGTGTTCATTAAAAGTGAGAAACATGATGAAATTAGCGTTTTGGAAAATAGGAATTAGGCTAAGTGTTAGTGCTCAGCACAGGAGTCCTGTCAGTTATCAGTAACAAAGGTTTAGGCATGCGCGCAGAAATGCGCGTCAGCCAGACTGGTTCGAATTAATTTGAAAAGCAAAGCAGTGACCTAATCGAGTTAATTAATCTGATGATCTACGACTCACACACTTTTCCCAGCTAGAAGCATACCGTTCATTTTGTTTATAGCAGTTTGCGCCGCCTCATCAGTCTCAAATTGAACGAAACCGTAGCCCATGCTATTTCCTTCTTCGTCAACAGCTACCTGTAGATAAGAGCTTGATTAGCAGAGAGATAGCAACACTATTCGATACTCCCACCTTACACGAAAGTATATTCCCAAACAGCGAAAAGATGTCGTAGATAGTCTTATCATCGATGACTTTGCTCAAATTTTTGATAAAAATATTGCCCGTGCCTGATCTTCTTATGGTAGGGTCTCGCTGTGACCACATGATCCGCATCGGCCTGCCATGAAGGATGTCAAAGTTCATAGTGTTTAGGGCACGCTCAGCTGCAAAGAAAATCTCATGAGTCTATTGTCAAGAAGATTTCAATCGGTAAGTCATGTGTCGCTAATGCGTCTTCTAGCGCATGCTGCTGTTCAAAGCTATGCGATTTATGTGCAGGCGTGATGAAACTTTCGACATTCGCATTAACTATTTGGTCATGTTGATCGCTAACTATCGAACGAACAGCGGTATCTGTTCGAGGAGGGTGTAGAAGTCCGACATCGTCTGCTTTCATAAATGTAGTGTCAGGGATATGCTTACTTAAACACAACGTCCGCGCTCAACAAAGGTGAACAAACTCTATACTGTACATGATCGCGGACTCCGCAACCGCAGAGGATATCCCACTCCTGGGACTCGATTGATAGACGAAGGCGGAGTCAACAATGATTAGCTCTCCGCCTGCCATGCTAATCCCGCCTCGGTTGGTTTTCCATTATCAATCCTCGCTGGCATTGATAACTGCTAACTTTCTAGCGTTCGTTTCGTACACTGCTAGGGAGATTAACTCATAGACAGATCGATCATCAATGCCAATTAATTAATCAATTAGATTAGACAAGATAACCTAAGTTGCTCTTGAGCCTCATGTTCTATCGATTTTGAGCCGCGCTGTCTTTCAATTGGCTTTGAAAACACGGAAATGGAATAGGGAAGAGCCCACAGAAAAATCTTGCAACCTACTAAGAGAGGTCATTGAGTCAGTCCGGCTAATTACAAAATAGTGCATACTGGGATGCGACAAGGCAATCGTAATGTGCTGCGACGCTGGGCTTGGCGTGCAACAGCGCGCCCGACGAGTTGTCCTGCCTAGCCATTTGAGCATGAGTGTCAAAAGAAGGGAAAATTGTATATCATTCAAAATTTGTAAGTGCTTCATTTCTATAAGTTTCGCTTCTCTAATTGACAGCTGACGCACATCGAAAATTTGCCGCGCGTGGCCACAAGACACGCCACGCGCGACGGAATACGACTGCCTTGTCCACCTCCTGTGTACACCGCCGCACGCGTTTTATGCCGCTGAGCTTGAATTTGCATTACAAATTTAAGGATCGATTCTCTGGCCTGAACTGAGATATGTGTTTTCCTCTCTCACCTTAGCGGCTTCCGCAATTGAAGTTAGAAGAGCAAGCTCGTGGTCTAGTGGATGCAGCTTTGCTTTCTGAATGGAAGTCACGGGTCTGGATTTCTAGCGCACGCTACGCTGCTCTCGACTCTGTACTTCAAGACGTTCCGCATGAATTCAGTAGAAATTAGTAGTTTTTTATATGTCAGAGTTGCAAAGAAGGGAACGACCAGCGTCAGGCCCAGGTTGACAGGCTGGCTGATGGAATAACCAGTCACAACAATCACGAAAAGTCGCAAGATGTATCAATGTAAAGCTAGAACTTCACCTGGAAGTGATGCACAGAACCCTCGCCCGAGTTCTGTGGGTCAGTATACGAGCACCGAGGGGTGAACAGCCTCGGACAAAGAAGCTGGTCCGGCACTATTTACCCTTTACTGCCCCAACCATTCAAAAATGAGCCAATTTTTGACCGACTTTTTTCTCCGTGGACAGATTTGGCTCAAATATTGTCTTCTGAGGTAGTTTGACATCCTGAATTAGAATACCATATTCGCTTAGCTCGGAACTTCCTGGCACCCAAGCCACAGGCGCCGGTGATTTGGTGTCTTTTGGCGCCAGCGCCTGTATCGCAGGCGCCAGGAAGTTTCGAGCAGAGCGGATGTGATCTTCATGTTGAGGATTTTAGACTACCCCTGGGAATAAATTTTCAGCGAATTTGGTTATTTGAGGGTAACTTGGCGCTTGGCGCCGGCCCCTGTGGCGCAGGCGTCGGGAGGTTCCGTGCCGAGCGGGTGTGATATTCATGTTCATCAGGTCGAATTACCCCAAGGGAGAAAATGTTAGCCAATTCTGCCAATGCAGAAAAAAGTCAGCCCAAAACTAGCCTGTTGTTGGGAGATTGGGGCAGTATAGTGCCGCTAGTTCGAATTGGGACCCGAACGTGGGGTCGCCTACAGGGAAGTCTCGTGAGGTTACCGACCTCATGAAACACAGGAATATCCAAGTCCTTCAGGACGCGATGGAAGGGTGCGACGGATTGCAGGAGGTGTCGAATTCTTTCACAATGGACCTTTAACAGCCCTTTTTTGATGCACTATTTGCCGCTCGCTCACTCATGGAGAAGCATCGGGGAAAAGCGGAAACCACTTCATATGGCTTCCTTGGACCTCGAGCAAGCTTGCGATCGAGTGCCTCACCAACTAATCTGGTATGCGCTACGTGAGCATGGAGTGCCTGAAGCACTTATCAGCTGGATTCGAATGCTGTATATGGACACCACCAGTCGAGTACGATGTGCTGCGGGTTTATCGAAGAGCTTTCCAATGAAGTTTGGAGTTCACCAAGGTTCGGCCCTCTCATCATAGACACACTCACACGAAATCTGCAACATACTGCTTCATGGACATTGCTCTATGCTGACGATGTGTTCCTAGCGGATGTCAGTAGAGAGGAATTGCGGCATCAGGTGCAAGCATGGAATGACCGTCTAAGCCAGTATGGCCTCCGCCTCAACACCAGAAAGACGGAATACTTAGAAACGGACCCTAGAAGGCACGATCAAATTCAAAGGCGAAGACTTACCGAAAACGATGTCTTTCAGGTACCTAGTGTCCCGCCTGCAAAGCGGAGGTGATGTTGATGATGAGGTTCGAATGAGAGTCAACGCGGCATGGAAGAGATGGAGAGAAGTCACTGGGGTGCTATGTGATAGGCGATGCCTCTTCGCCTCAAGTCAAATATACACCGGACCGCGGTTCGACCCGTGGCACTATACGGATCAGAATGCTGACCAGCAACCAAAAGTGCGGAGCGCCGACTCCACGCCGTGGAGATGCGAATGCTGCGACTGTCAATGGGCATTTCACGCCTCGATAGAATCAGTAATGATCTGATTAGATGTCAGATGGGTGACGCCCCAATCGCCCAGAAGATGCAAAGCAGAGACTCCAGTGGTATCGCCACGTTTTGCGAGTTGAGCGTGATACCCTCGCTTCTGTTGCACATCGATTTGAAGTAGACGGTCACCGGCCGAGAGGAAGACCAAAATTACGCTGGCAGGAAACCATAAATGTGGACTTGGAAATGGTCAACCTCTCTGAAGAAGATGCACTAGATCGAGCAAAGTGGCGTCAAAGTGGCGGGTGTCTTAATGGAGTTCCCCATCACCGACGGGTGCACCAAGGCTCTGCGCTCTCCCCACTTCTTTTGGTTGCCGTCATGGATGCCAACTCACGAGATCTTCAGAAGGAAGTGCCTTGGACGATGATGATGTGATGCTTGCTTGTGAAGATAAGAGCGCACTGGAACAGCAGGTGCAAGCTTGGGCTGAGCGTCTGGCGAAGTTTGGACTCAAATTGAACGTCAACAAGACAGAGTACCTGACAACCGACCAAAATCAGCCGGGTTCCATCAAGATCGATGACAAGGTGCTCAAGCGCACGGAAACATTCAAGTATCTCGGATCAGCACTTGCGTCCGATAGCAGAGCGTTTCAAGTCAAAGATCTATCGTACTGTCGTCCGACCTGTCGTGTTATATGGTGCCGAGTGCTGGCCCGCGACCAAAGAAGTTGAAGCTCGCCTGGGTGTGATGGAGGTGAAGATGTTGCGCTGGACGGCGGGCGTCACGCGATCGGACCGCATCTGTAGTGATGTCAAGGTACCAGGAAAGCGGCAAGGGGTCTCAAACAGCGCTGGCTCGACACGTTGCATACCGACTTGAAAATAGCTGGCATATATGTCGATCAGGCATCCAATCGGGAAAAGTGGCGTAGTTGTATCAAAAGAGCGGACCCCTCTGACATCGGTAGCGGGACAACGCCTGGAAGAAGAAGAAAAGAGAAGTCAAGAAGAAGAAGTAAGAAGGAAGAAGAAAGAAGAAGAAGAGAAGAAGAAGAAGAAAGAAGAAGAAGAAGAAGAAAGAAGAAGAAGAACGAAGAAGAAGAAGATGATGATGTCTGCCCGAGACAAATTCCCTCTCCGCGCGAAGCCTGTACAGCTTTACTGACATCAGAAGTAGCGCAGGTCGACAAGAACAAGACCCAGACATCAAGCAACTTTGGGTTCTCGAGTTCGTCGGAATCACAGATAGTACGTGTCCTGCACAGGACGACTACGTCAACGCTGAGGTGGTTAGAGGTTACTACGACGCCGTACAGGTTGTTGACGGGCTGATTCACGTGTAGTTCCCGTGTAAGGAACACACCACGCTCGCTGGATAATAAGTTCCTTGCTTTGAGACGCCCACAGCACCAGTACGATTCACTCCGCAACAAAGAACAGCTATGGAAACAATACTGCGTGACCTTAAAAAACCAGGAAAGATCAGGTAGGGAAGTAGGGAAATTCGATTTCGACGGTCGCAGGTATATTACGTGTCACATCAAGCGGTTTCAAAAGTCGATAGTACCACTACAGCAGTGCGGATTGTCTTCGATGCTTCCAGTCATCAGAAAGGCGCCATGCCTAAATGCCTGCATCAAGGCCAACATTGCCACCAGATCTTGCTGGTGCTGGACTCCCAAGATTTTGCATCATTAGTGATGTCGGAAAAGCCTCATATCAGATCCGTCTCCAGAAAATTCAGAGAGACGTGACAAGGTTTCTGTGGCTTAAGAATAGTGCGTGCCCTCCAGCGGGTGACAACCTCTATTTTCAGTGACCGTATTTTCAGATTCGCGCGTGTTGTGTTTGGCATGAATGTCTCTCCATTCTTGCTCAATATGTCCATCATATACGCGCTTGAACGAGACAGTTGTAATACGTTGCATGAGGGAGTTCTTGTAACACCTATGTGGACAATGTATTCATCGGTGCAGACAGCACGGAGCGCATTCAGAAGCAAAAGGAATGCGAGAAGACTTTCCAGTGTATGGGCATGAATCTTAGAGAGTTCATGTCCAACAATGAGTGCGCCATGGAACATATTTCTGAACACGATAGAATGAAAGCAATTTCTAATACGGTCAAATTACTCGGACTGCAATGGGACCCAGTGGGTGACATCATCCACATTCAGGTCAGTTTAGCATCCCACCGAGAAGAAACGAAAGCTGTCCAAGCAATAGCGTCTAATTTCGATCCGTTGGAATACTTACTCCGTTGTTCGTCAAGGCGAAGATGTTCATTAAAGATCTTCAGAAGGAAGAATATGACTGGGACTCGCCTTTCGGCGAGCAGTACTCCGTCAGATGGCAAGAAATCATAAGTCGGATTGAAGGGTATAGATCCATATCCATCATCATCATCCATCATCAGGTTCATCGCGTATAGAGACGATCAGGTCGAACATGAAATCTAGCTTTTCGCAGACGCGTCTAAACGTTACTCCAAAATGTCCTACTTACTTAGTAGAGCACCCAGTTCTCCTACGCAATCTCATCTTCTTGTGGCTAAAACGAGGCTAGCACCGGTCAAGGAGACCACGATACCCCCTTTGGAACTAATGGACTGTGACATTGCAACATCAGTAGCCCGGTTCCTGCTGAAGGAATTGAAGATCGACGTCAAAACAGTTCGTTTCTTTCGGACGGCATATTATGCTATATTGGATTAATACCAATAGATCTATGAAAGCGTTCGATAATCGCCTTGAATGTTCGAAATGTATTGCGTATTCTAGCTTCTGAGAGCATCGAGACAAAGTTTTACTACGTTTCGAAAGAGTCCTACCAGATTGTGCGACTAGAAGTCTCTCAGCTGGAGAAATAGCTGACCATATCTGGTGGAATGGACCACTGTTCGCGCGTCAATGCCCCACGAAATGGCCACACTCAACAATGGATTTCACTACCCAACCCCTCTCGACTCCGGAAACGGATGCCGAGTTCAAGGTTTCCACTCTTTTTGTCACCAGACAGCATCGTTCAATGTTACCATTTCAAAGGACCAACGACTACAATAAGTTACTACGTTGTATGGCTCTCGTTCTCAGATTCTTCCGAAAACGAGTCTACGGTAGGGTCTCAATCCCAAGTCGACTTCGGCTCGACGAAATACCTCCCTTAATGGAAGTGTCCACTACACCCCAAATTAGTGGGCAAGACGTTTCTACTTTCTGCTCGAATGAATGAAATGCAGAGAAATGCCGATATGATAGGTACAGCCAAGGATCCGATCCTCCTTACGCCGAATCATCCCTTAGTCGCTATGATCGTCGCAAGACGCCATCGTGCTCTATTCCACAGAGGAGTAGAGCATATTGTAAGCGTATTACGCCACAGATATTTCATTCCTCAAATTCGTAATGCAGTTCGTGCCGTGATAAGGTAATGTATGCCCTGCAGAAGACACCAAGCACATCCCTACCGGTACCCTAATCCCCCAGGCCTTTCATATGAAAGAGTCACTCAAAGCACACCCTTTCGACGCATTGGGTTACATTGCTTCGGTCCAATTATAATCTATACTACTTCGTCGGAGACTCGTAAGGTCTGGGCGTGTTCGTTCACATGCATGACTACACGAGCATTACACTTGGAGTTGGTTTATGACAACTCAGCAGTCGAGTTCCTCTTGGTCTTTCGCAGGTTCATTGCCAGGAGAGGCACTCCTGACTTTATAGTCAGTGACAGCGCCCCTACCTTCAAGTTAGGCAGAGAAGTACTGGTAAATGATCTGCTCGAGATTGAAGAAGATACATTACTTTATCAATTTATTGCGCAAAATGCCCTCCGATGGAAGTTCATCACCACCTCCTCTCCGTGGAAGGACGGCTTCTATGAAGAACTCATCGGAATAGTGAAGCGATCGTTGAAGAAGACGACCCATCGTGATACTTTACATGTTCGTCCTTTCGAAAGTATTTTAATAGAGATCAAAGCGACTCTGAACACGAGACCCTTGACAACAGTCAATACAGGCTACAGGAGAGATTTCCACACTGAGACCAGTAGATCTCATTAGCCCTTACTACCAGCTAAGCCCCTTCTCTCCACCGAGTTGTAGTGGCTCAGAATTTCAGTACTACGTTCCGAGTGATTCGGAGACCAAGCAGTCTCTGGAGGGTCAACACGAACATCTCCTAGTTACGTTGACCACTTCTGGTCATTGTGGCGAAAGCAGTACTATCAAACCTTCGCCGAGCGTGTATCCAGCTACCTCAGAAAAAAATCGAGGCTCACGCTCACGACCTACGGTTGAAGAAGTGGTGCTAATCGTACAGGAAAACGTTCCCCGTACGAATAACCTTTGCCCATAAGTACGAAAATGGATACGTCGCGAGACGGAGTTCTTCGGTCTGTGTAAGTTGAACAGGTGAGACTCCATTCCAGATCACCCAATCAATCAACTGGTTCCGTTGGAACATTACGCACTCGACGCTGCAACAGATCTATCTCAGCAGAGGACGACGACTAGAACATCTTCGACGCCTCCGCCAGGGATTCAGCCGCCGCGAGTAGCCAAAAGGATACATTCGCGATAAGTTCATTTTTCTTTCAATGTAGCATTTTATCGTAGAGCATCATATTATATTCTATTCATTAGCAACTTGGTGTAACCATCCCGTCAGTTTACTTCTTTCTTCAATGGGTTTTTGTTCGCCAGCGTCCGTATAGGGATCAACGCAAGCACAATTTACCCTCTTCATTACGTTTACTCTGGGTTAACCTCATTATAACTTCGTTCACACCTGGGGTTACATCGTTCCATTACGTTGTTAGTAACTGACCCATCATAGGCGTGCGCACAAAAGCGCTTACGGTACAGAGGCTGTCGCCGCGGGACCCATACGGTCACTGACCGGGCGCAGAGGGTTTCGCAACCAGTAAAGCCATCGTTAATCGATATGCGTGTCTCACTCGGGACTCTTTCCATCCAAGTTAGTTCTCACTCTTGTCTCTTCATATCTTATCAGTCGATCTGATGCGTGCTGATGCCATTTTATAATGCGTGCTGATTCCAGGATCAGTTATTCCTGGTAATGCTGCTATTCTGAAATGGCGAAAAAGTCACACAGATCGAAGAAGAAGGCCACAGAGACTTTAGCAATCACCTTGATGTAATGGTAGAAAATTTAGATAGTGCGTTCGCTACTTCTGTCGATATTTCGTCACCTATTTCGTCGAAAGCTTCACAATTGTATGAAGACATTTCTGTTTCGCAGGAGAGAGTCGCCATGCCAACTGCGCCACGGGAGCAGGAGCAGGAGGTCCTCAGTGGAGTAAGTATGTTCGAAACACAGGTGAAGCTGATTCCGCAGTAGTGCGTCCTACTTTGGAAAACCCTTCTAAGGTCTTTTCCTTCGCCGAGAGTCCACGCCGAGCTCGTTGATCCTAACGCACCCTACGCGCGCTTTTGCGTTGAGTATCCCTGCGAGGAGGAAGAAGACAGCGATCCCGATGCTCCATCGTCGGCTCAACAGGCCTTCCAGAAACCTGTCCATTTGGCAGGCTCGTGGGCAGACGAGATGAACAAAACATCTGGTCTGCAAGAGTCGATGATAATGAAACAAAAGGCTCCTGTAAAGACGTCTGACCCGGTTAATATGGAAATAGATCAACCGCCCAATACTACTGCGTCGGCAGGCATTCCTGCTGCTCCTCAAGAACAGGGTAATGCGTCATCATTTACGACGTATCGGGAGAAAACCAAGCTGTCACCATGTGTGAAACCCAAGGCCAGCACTGCATCTGCACCAGTTGGCCGACCACAGCAAACTAGCGCATCAAAAATCACTTAATACGTCGTCCACAACAGTGTCTGTTGCAGTCGAACTTACGTACGATCCACGTAGACAGACCATCGACAAATATAGGGAAATATTGCGTAATGTAGCAACTAAAACAAGCTTACAAGCAGACTCGTAAAGAGGGGCAGCAACTGCAGTTAGACGTAATCTCGTCGTTCGAAGGTAAGGGTAAAAGCGAGATATTACCGCCTAACTATTCAGCGCAAGACGTATGACCACTGCCACCTGTAGGTATTTACAGCTCTTATTTCCTTAATCTCAGTACAGTCGAAGAATTGACTGCCATGCAGTTAAAGCCTGTGTTTGATTTTGTGATGAAGATGGAGGACCAAGGCACCATGAAACTCGTTACTGACAGCCAATTCGAGTACCGTGACAGCCTCATCTGCATCGTTAATTCGATGCAGCTATCACGTAAAACGGTCAATAATGCGTCGAGCTCATAGGTCAGCTCGCCTTGCTCATGCAAAATAGAGACCCATGGAGCCATGGCTTCGTCATCCTTATGGCATGGATAGACGAGCTGACTCATAGCCAGACTGCAATCAGGATCCATAAAGAGGTTTTGCAAGGGAAAATAATGCCTAGTAGCTGGAGCAAACCGGGGATCAGGAAAGGTTCATAAAAGTATTGCATTCGCAT